AAGTCTGCAATGGCGGCGAGTATCGGTGTGTCTGCCGTGGGTGTGGAATGACACGGTGTGGCACTATCAGATGCTACGTGACTTATGGTGTTATCAGATAAAACATCCATAATACTATCTGCCATGTCACTTAGTTGGTCTAAGTCATACGACTTTCCTGAGATGATTAAAATTTGCTGGACATTTCTAGGTAAACGTTGCAACCACATCTGTTTCAGCACTACCTCGTCTACTTTATGATGTCCGATTAACTGGCGCATGTGCCTGAGCAGCTGGGATGGTTTACGTGGGCCTAGTTCACAGCCTGTGAGCAATTGTTGGATTCTTTTCTCATCCGACAAACTGGTACGTTGTATGAGGAGGGCTTTAAGTTTATCAAATTGATGTTCCGTCGGAGGATCTTCGATGAAATCGCTGATTTCTGTCAATACTGACGGAGGGAGTTCTGCCAGCACCATACCATATTTGGCTATTTGGGACTTAATGCCCCGTGCTTCTAGCAACGGTTCAATTACCGCAAACCAAATCCTTGGTTCTGCGAAACCGTATTGAGGTAAACGAAAATCAGTGATGGCATTTATTGTGGCATTTGTCTCGCTATTAGTTGTCTGCTCGTTTGATGTACCGGACTGAGGTGATGACATTATAAATATGAGGTTATTGGTGCAAATTAGGATACAAATATAAACCACACACAAAATCACAATGAATATACAAAATAGCAAAAATAAGAATATGAATATGCCAAAATAATCCGTGTTCTTATCGGGCTCACCAATTAATTTGTAGGGGACTTATATTAGAGTTCACTAACATTATAAATATAAGAATAATAATCCAAGTCAATGGAGTGTTAAATCACAATATATTACCAAAAATGCAGTGACGAGTTGTATCAACAAAAAGGATTACTTGGATATAAAGTCTAAGTCCTCTGCTACAAATTATGTATATAATCCACGGGTACGTTAATTGATTGGGTTGCGTCTGCTGTAGCTGCTGTGTTCCGGTTGTAGAAATGTCTTCGGTTGAGAGTAGTAGACTCCTACAATAAATCCGAAGTATACAACACGGTGTGAGTGGAGCAAGTAAGCAGAAGGGACCAGGGAGAAGACGAAGTCTCCAACAGCAGAGTGTATTTTTCAATTGTACACGGAAGTTATGTATATTTCAACAAGAAGCGATTTAAACAAAAATTATGTACAATATCTCGAATTTATACAAATAACCAAAAAGTGTACAATCACATTGTTACGTACTCCACAGATTTAGTACGAAGCTGTCAATTTGGCAGACAAGATTTCTACAAACAACGTTGACGTTACTCTGCCTTTATTGAGGTTAATAACACAATTTGCGGCCTTACTATTGCCACCGTCGTGCACTTCTGAGACCGCTGACTTAATTTTTATGTCATCTTGGATGTACAGATTAACCCCACTACTTTCATAAATAATTACTTTGACTGCTGTAATGCCTATGTACCTCGGTTTGTGGGGAGTGTGGTCCATACCCATTGACAGCTTTATTTAAGTTTGCATTCTTTCAGATACTACTCCTAATTTGGGTATCTTTTTACTAAGACTACATGCGTCCATTTAACACAATTATACACCTACGTGTTCTTTTAACTATGAGTAGAGGATTTTGGTAACAGGGATTCCCCAGACGTAATCACCCAAGAACTCAATATCTCATGATATTTTTCACCTTTATGTAATCAAGACTTTAATTCGGTTACGGTTTTCCCCTTTTTAATTCTATTCTCTGACAGCCAATAAGGCCTTTATTTTCACCTCTTTATCCATGATCTTAGGTGCATTGCCGAGAATTACATTACCTCATTTTCTAACTCTATTTTCAATAGTCACCGACAATTCAGTTCCATTTATTGATATAACCTACAGCATACCTATAAAAACTTTGCCACAGACAGTAGTTAGTAGTTTGAGGTTTTAAATTTAAGCTCTACTGGATGTCTCATTTGACATTAACTCATTTTTTTAAATTTCCGAAGAGGCGAAACAGACCTTACGTGATAATGTGAATGAATTTTCTTCAAAAGTGTAAAATATAATTTCGAAATACTGGAGAAAATTTCTATTTTAGATGAATGTTTTGTTGTTGATGTTTTTATTGCGTTGCCTGATTCGGCTGGTTGATTCATAGGCTTCAGTTATCCACTAGGACAAAATCTTCAATGCTAAATTCATAGTAAGGATAAAATATTCAAATCTCATGTATTCAAACGCTCGTCTTTTTATTTCATAACTACTTCGTTTAAAACGAAAGCCTAAGTTTTCAGAGCAGTTATAAACTTTGAAATATTAATGGAAATTGCGGTCATAGACCCTGTATTTATATAACTGATTGATATGTCATCATTATGGTAGGCTTGTGTCATTTTCTCAAAAAGTATAGTCAGAAAATACCTGAGATTTAAACAGCCTTTTTATTGATATATTAGCATTCCAGGTATTTTGATCAAAATAAACCAAAGCTAGGGTCAGAATAAAAGTGGGTAGTTTTAACTTACTACGCTTAATGTGGCACATCCAAAAAAAAGTGAATGCAATCACACAGTAGTGAGATCTGTCAGCAAGCCAGAATTGTGGACAACAATTTACGTCAATGTTTACGTCCCGAATCGGGGTCTTGAGAAAAACAGTAATAAAGCTTAACCTTCAGGAACTCACCAGCCAATCACAGCAAACTTAACATGTGCAAATATGATTCGCAGATATATGGCTTAACTTTCTAAAAAACGGACACAAACAGTACAGAATAGTCTTCGGCAAGAAAACAACCAATCAGATGTTGGTTCTCTGTTGACAATAAAGCTAATAATAATGCACATAAGAATGTATAAATACCCCTTGATTTTCTCAATAAACGATCTATTGTCTGGCCCTTGTCTTTTATCATTACAAAACTACTTCAATGAAGAGATTTGTGTAAAGTATTTCAGATGAACACAGATTATTGGAGATTTCTATGACTTCAAAGCTGAGAGTTTTAATACTATTTAAATCTAACTTATGTGAGTAATCAAAGAAGATTTATTCACTTAAAAATCTGCAAACTTTTCACATCATTCAATTTACTGGGAATATTTCAAGACTCTAAGGTATAGTGTATTATTTAAAGCGTTTTTTAGGCAGTTGTAGACCTTGTATCCGAAATGAAATAAGTGTGTAAGCCCAAAAGAGGGTTATTGTATTCTTGTCAATATTTTATCAAAACTCACTTCATTAAAACAGATAAGACTTTTTAAATGAATACAAAGATCAATGTAGTCCACCATTTTATTCCCTGAAAGGTGATGTAGACTAATATTTTACCATCATCCAACGTGAGATTAGAACAAGCCAATTAAGAAACACATTCCTGTTTGCGCTCAAAATATTCACAGGAATATACGCTTTTTACTAGTGCATTCACTCAACAAGACCAGATTGTCTAAGTAAGAGTTGCTTTTTTGGACTAAAGAAGATTATAAAAACCCAAATATTTATAAAATAACAAGTACTCTATTATTATTGTCCAAACCAGTGAAACAATCTTTACAGCCCCTTGACTAAATATAAGATGATATCATATTATTTAAGTCACTTTAGATTTTCCCGTCGACTGACTGGACCAAATTGCTCGGTCTCAGGCTCCTTGTACAGATGCTTCGACAATGTCTGATCATGTAACTTGAAGTCAATTGGTTGACGGTGACTAATAGTGGAATCCAGGATACACATTTCATCGTATTTGGGACTGGTTCGTCTTCTGGACATACCTGCATTCCCACCGAGGCTTGAATCCAGTATCCACAGTCTCAAACACTGAAGCCTTATCCACGAGATCACTTGGACCAAATATAATGAAATGCGCATTCTGGATTCCACTGCTAATCACAATTAACCAGTTTGATATCATATTAGCCATATTAATTTAGTGAATTGAAAATTCATTATTTTGTAAACAATTCTGATGTCACTGATTTGAATTCTAACAAGTGAATGTATCATTTTAAGTTAAAAAATAAATGCAGTTTACCGAAGGTTACATTTACTTGAAGACTTACAGACAAAAACCAACAGTAGCGAAGTAGAAGAAGCAGACAGTGAAGACAGAACTTGAGATGAACACAGAGAAGATGGAGGTTAAGTAGACAACCAATCAAAATCAATCAGCATGGATCATTATCAGCGAGAGAGAAATTTGAAAGAGGTGACTTTCCTCACTAGTTTATTCAGCATCATTTCAACTCCAGATGGCAGAGATGAGGCTGTCTGATATGGGAGTACAAAGGCTAGGCAGACCATCATCATTGTAAAATAAATTCAGGAATCGTTTGTACTCAGTATAAACAACAAAATTTGGATTTTCAACATGAATGTTAAGTCATTGCTTTTATATGGGTTAGAAACTTGGCAAACACAGCCGCCTTCTCTCTGTGCTGAAGATCAATCAGGCGGCCAAAAAGAACCAGAAACAATGAACTTCAGAAATGAACCAATCTAGAATATGTAGAAAAAAAGATATGTAGAAAAAGACGGAGGTGGATGGAACACACAATAAGGACATCGCGCGCCACGCCAGCCTCCAAGCTGGTAAACGATAAGTTGGACGTGAGTCCAAAGGTAATAGTGATACAATCCTATTAGGAGGAGGTGAGAGTCTATGGACAGTCGTGAAGGCAGCTAAGGAAGACTGCAGAAAACAGGTTGAAATGATGATATGTTGGTGAAGCCTTATTTTTTATATTCAGAAGAACCCAATGAAATGAAATATACATGTTACCGAGTGTCTCGTTAGAAGCTGTGTAAACATTGTTTATGATTGCTAGTGAAACAGGAATTCCGGGTAAAACCTAACCTGATTCTTTTTTCCACTCTGTCTTACAATAATATTAAAGCTAATTTAAAAAAATTGAACTCTTAAACACAATATTTATATATCTCGTGAACAGTTTTCTTAAATAAATTCATTCAGTTTTCTTCATTTAGTTTAGCTGAATTACAAAAACAAAAAGAGAAACTAATTAAAGAAAGAGATGAAAATTATGTTGATAATCAGAAACTTAGAGAACAAATTGAAGAAACCAGAGGTCGAATAGTAGTTTATCAAAATGAACTACTTGAAGCACAGAATAAAATATCTGAGTTAACATTAGATATTCAAGTTAGTTATCTGTGTTGATTTTTATTATATCATGTGTATATTTTTATTATATTTCTATGGAATAACTTTCCATGATGTTATATTGACAAGTTAGTCAGTAAATACGACAACTAATCAGGCTGATGATCCGTACACTTTTGCCGATCTCTGATGTACTGCGAAGATCTAATTACTCTTGTCTTCAGGTCAAGAATTTAAAGTTCTCTGTTCTACATCTTCATATTAAGATATTGAATTAGACCATAAAAGTATAGGTCCTACAAATTACCAGCACAAAATAATCTTTAGGTTATATTATTAATCCCTTGGGTTCCGAGTGAAATATGGAGCTTTAACAACGCATCTATACTTTCTTCTATTTCCTGCCATCCTATCCAGCTGAGTCAACAATTGCCCAAACTCTTTCATCTCTTCCTTGCCACACCATCTCCTCTATGTCACCCTCACACTGACGACCTACTCGTCACTTTCCATTAGGACTCCACTTTAGCGATGGCCTGCATTCTGCGCGATGTCATTCGGCGGCCTCCTCAGTGGCGTATGCCTGATCCATCTCTAGTTCCTCTAAAAAATATATTTGTTAAGCAATCGGCTCTTGGTTGGTTTGTTCCCAGAGTTTCATGTCATTAATTCTTTCTCACTGGCCATTTCATCTTCGGTATGGAGCCAGTAAAGGTGTCAGCTATTGATTGAAGTCTGCATTAGCCTGTTGGAAATCCTTTTCATGACTCACATGCAGTGCAAGTTTCTGACCCGTATAGGAAGCACTGAACAACTTGACATTGGTGTTGAAAATTCGAATCTTGCTCCTCATATTAGCTGATGGCAGTTCAAGAGATTCCTAAACTGGTTTCAGATTGATGAAGGTGTATCTTCATCCGTTCCGGCTTTCTGTAGTTGAAACGATGCTTCGTGACAAGATGGTGCTAGTTGTTGTTATTGTTGTTGCAGTTTGTTGGTTATCTTCATCTCTCCGTTTCCACCATCTATGTGTTCACCTGCAATCCTGTTTTCGCTGCTTATTCGGAGTTTCTAAATGGTTCCAGACAGTCAGCCAGAAGCCTTAGATCTCGATTCAGCTCCTGCTGACACTAATTAACTAGGCTTATAAATAACCTCGAAGGAAATGATATGGAGCCCGTGTAACCCAGTGATTCTGTTAAAAAAATATTACCTCTGAGGCCATTGAGCAGCAAGTGTAAGAATATAATAGTTGGGAAGGTTAGTCACTAGGGGCGTAAGTAGCATCGTTTGTCCGATTCATTTTTTTCCTTCTTCATTCCTTGTGTTCTAAGTGGAATAGAGGCCTTGAAGGCCTTGAAGTCTCATCAACAGCGTCATTGTTTTGATGGGTTTGAGTTGCTAGCCTAATGGCATCCCTTTCGAATTGGGACCTAGCGAGCATTCTAACACTGGCTTACCGATGTGTACCACATTCTAGTAGTCAAATTTGTAATATGGACAGCAGCATGGGATGACGCAAGTCCAGGTCTCCAGAAAGACATCAATTTTGAAGTTGCTGATAAGTATCAACAGGCAAAGTTCAGCTAATATCAAATCAAAGTGCATCAAAATAGCAAGTTTCCTAGATCGGTATAATTCAGTTTGCCCTAGAGATTGGCTATAGGACAACTTTTAACGGCAAATTACTAACAAATAGTCTCCAACTGTTCTAATTACCGTTGTTCGTCACTCTAGAATAATTCCACTTAGTCGGTTATAACTTTTGATTATATTAAATTGTGATTGTTTACACCTGATAGGTGCTAAATAACACTACAAACTGGTTGAAAATTATCCGTATAACTTGTGTAAATTCTCTTTTAATTAATCTTTCTGTGAATGTGTTATATTTGCACTTTATCAGCTTTTTATTTAGTATTACATTCAGACTACTTATGAGTAGTTGAAGGAGATTTGAAAACTTTTCTCGAAGTTAGTTCAAGTCTACTTATTAAGCTGCTCACTGATATTTCGATGTATCTGTGAAAAATCTAGTGGATTGTTAGGTGAAGAACAGTCTTAAGCTTGCAGCAAACTCCTAACAGTGAGTTTTAAAATGGGACAGAAAGCTTACCTAGTATTTTTTCGGTTTTCAATCTCCACCTAATTTCTATTTTTTTTTATTCCTTTACATTCCCAGTGGAACATAGGGCTGCTTCAAGCTAGAGATTTGAAGTTTCAGTAGCAGTAGCATTTAATTTTCACCGGATGAGCTCGCTACTCTCATACCCATCTTTCCGTCTCTACCAGTCTTATTACTGGCTTAGCGAGGTAAAGAAGTGAGTCGGGCGGGGATCGAACCCCGAACCATATGATTCGTGGTTGGCGAGCATTCTACCTCCTTGCCACCAACGCACGCCCAAAACTCTTCATTTTAACTGACCAGATTTGACTAGAACCCATAATGTGATTTGTAAATAAAGGTGAAGGTGAAGTAAAACTGTAGCAACCATCATGCTACACGATGTTTGTCAACCAAATAGATTTACAGGTGGTATAACCGAATAAATTTATGCCTTCAGCTCTTCTCTTGTTGAACGAGTTCCAGGAAGATTGAGTTTGTGATTACTGTGTGAATTTTAGATTGAATAAAGTTACCAAAAAGTGTATATGCAGGTGGAAGCTTGTCGAGATAACTGATCTTTTTAGAAGATTGGGATTTTAGAGGAGATAGAAGAACAGAATCATAAATATAAACAGATCTCAGAAAACCATGATCTATTGTCATATCTCTAACAAATTCACCACTTTTATTGCTTTTTAATTCTGATTATTAGCTCAAGGTTAGCGATACGGTCGATCAAGATGCCTGCTATAGCCTAACTTCTGAGAGATCAATAAAAGCGACTGAATTTTTAAGCAAGTTAATAGATAATTGATCTTTTCTCTAAAAGTTTTATTAACTTAGTGACTTACAGAAAATTATTCATGTCTAATATTTTATACCAACGATTTACTCGTGCTGAAACATGATTGTAGAATTAAGTCATTAAATGTCAGGAGAATTTTCCCTTTAGAAAAACACGTTATAATTAAGAATGTTTAGTTAGACTACAAATCAGTGAATTTATGCTCAATATTAATGATTAACAATGAAATAAATAAACGGATGGCGGTTCCGCTCTATATATCGTGAATCAACGGAAATTCGGATTCGTAGGCCATCGAACTAGTTACCAGTGGCTGAATGGTCTATGAGCTTGCCTTGTCTTCAAGCCCCGATGTGTGCATACTCCTGACTAGTCCTGATTAGGTGTTAGGTATTCCTCGACGGTTTTCCAATAGTTCTCTGACTGATTTCAGCTCATGATGAAACTTGTAATCAGTGGACATGTACTTTATTTTAACTGTTGTAGAATGAGCATTATGTTAGATTAGTGGATGTCGTTAGTGACATATCTCTGGATGCAGACAGCTTCAAAATAGGGTTATTTGAAGTGAATGTTCCCATATGTGTGTATGTATGAGATTTTATGATTTTCATAAGGAAAAAAGCTTGAGACATTAGATGGTAATGGCTTTCTATCATGAAATGTCTTCATGTTTAAAAATGGACAAATAAATTGTATTTTCAGTCATGAACTGATTTCGGTTGGAGAACCGTTGGGGAACCTGTGTGAGTGCATACTGATGAAGAGTTAAAAACTAAGACAAAACAGCTGACTGTCCAATACTTTCAGATTTTCCAATGATTTTCTAATCTGAGTCAGTTCATGATGAAATCCTGAAACCAATCAAATTTCTGCAAACCAACACTTAAATAAATTGTACTTCACTCTGAGGAAGGGAGTAATCACTTTACTTCCCTAACTTCTTCAAGTCTAAGGTTTAAAGACTAATAGGTTAGAAAAGAGATTGTCTGTAGAAGCTTAAGACTAAGAAGATAATAAATCCAGTGTTTATAGGTATTATTTAGGACAGTGACAGTCACATTCTATAAATGTATAAACTTCTTATTTTACAGCGCAAAAGCAATAGATGTATCATGACATCTTAAGTTTATGATTAAGATTATGGAAGGTGTCATTTATTTTAATGCTATTGATGTCGTTTGGCAGATTTGAAAAATCTTCCATACTTCACGATACTTATGTTATCTATTAGAAACACTGTTCAGCATGGATAACGATCTCAGAGGCAATGAGGATCGGGTAAGGCAAAACAGACAGTCACTATACTCTGAAATTCGTATGTATATCTGCTGCAATCTTCAGTATATAAAAAAAACAAGATTCAGGCTTTCATCACTGATGTAAAATCAATCAGTGTTTGTATACGGTTTATAGACTAGCCAAATGTATCACCAGAAGCCGGTGCAACAGTCTACTGCGGAATTTCGTCAACAGCTGCCTTCACTGGCTCGATAGTGAAGATCCGATGACCAGCCAGAAAGGATTAACGACAAAAAAAACAACTCTTGGAATGAACCAACCAAGGACATGTCTCCCAACAAATACGCAAAACGGAACGGAGATGGGCTGAACAATACACCATGTAGGAGACTGTTGAATGACATCGTGTGATGAGCAAGCCCTGAGGAGGAACCCGAATGAGAAATCGCGAATTGGGGCAGAGAATGACATGCAGAAAATGATGTGGGAAGAAGATAAGAGCTTGTGAACAATCATAGAGATAGTTAAAAAGAACTTGAATGAAATAGAGACGGACTATTGAAGCTCTCTCTATACTCCATAGACAACCCAACGAAATGAGATAATAATGATAAGAAGAAAGAAACATCGCTTTAGAAAAATTCTCATCTGTTCACTTATAACCTACTTTATTTATTCCACGAAAATGTTATTTAGGTTTAATGTAATTATCTTTTGTAAACCTTTGTTTTTGCTTTGTTTTTCTTACCCACTTCCTTGTAGAATAAAAATGTAGAAGCACAAAGAGAATCACGTAAAAAAGATCGTATGGAAAGAGATTTGAAACTAGTTCGTGCTGAAGTTGAAGCTAAAATGGAAGAAATTAGTTTAACCTCTGCAACTGTTGAAAAGTTAAAAGAAGAATTACGTACAAAAGAAGAAGAGAATCGTTCAGCAAAAGTTTCCTTAGAACAAGCTAATCGTCAGCTGCAAATAAGTGAAGCAAAATTAAAAGATTCTCAATTAAGACTAGAACAACAAATTCAAGTGACTGAGTCTGTAACATCTGAAATACAAGCAAGAGTAATTGAAGTCAAGGTATGACGGTAATTTTATTTACTTATTTATTTATTTTTTTAATCAGAGGACGAAATTCTCCCTTATACTTCATTATTTATCTAAGGTTATGTGATTTATTATTTAATGGAAACAAAACACGTTGTTCAGCGAAGAGTCTCTTTTCGGTGAATCCATTCACGCTTAGCTGTACAATCGCATATATATATATATATGAGTTATTTTGTATGCATGTGTCCATTAACTTTGTCAGACAAAAATACAATTGCATGGAGGATTTCATCATGAGCTGACATCAGTTAGAGAACCACTGGATTCTCACTAGCGACTGGCCCTATTCAGGCAGTTTATCTGGGGTTCTAGTGAAAAGCCGTGACCAGTAGGATACAGCAGTTTGAAGATGAGGCAGTAACTCATCGAAGAAGACATTGCGAAATGGTCGCGCTATATCGCAAATTGGAAGAAGTTAGAATTCAAGAACCATTGGATCAAGTACCAGTGGTTTAACGGTCTACGAGCTCGCCTTGCGACCACAAGGTTCAGGGTTTGAACCCCTACGGGTGCGTACTGCTGAAGAGCCGTTCCCAAACTAGGCTGGTGGAACAGCTGTCCAGGTTTTTCAGTGATTCTCTAACTGATATCAGCTCATGATGAAATCCTCTATACAATCGAACAAAATCCCTACAAAAGCGATATCCAAAAAATACAATTGGTTATGGTTATTTTAACTAGACAGGTGAAGATTGGTAACTGGAGTTATGTAATCCGAAATCAGTCAAGATAATTGGGTGTTAGTGAAATTAGGGTAGTAACGAAGGTGATGCTTTGCCGCAAACAATTGTTAAAAAAAGAGGTTATCTAATAATATAGATAGTCTGATGATTGTGTTGTTTTACTCAGGATACACATAGGAACAAAGTAGGGAATACGAAATTACATGAGATTTCTAAGCGCATGCAAAAATTATAAGCAATTAAAGAAACAGGCAAACAAACAAAATTAAGTTATCAAAAATCAGCAAAGTTTTTTTCCAATGGAAGAATATTTACCTGGAGCTATGGTTCACTGGTTTCAAACTTACTCCAACTGTAACAGCAGAACACAAGAGTCGGTCAACTTCTTCTTCTTCTATATGAAATGTTATTTTCCAATCAATCAGATTTCATTCCTCACCTTATTACAAAAACCGTAAGGGTCTCTATCTCAATCTGGTGGTTTTATTCTCTATCTAATACTCGTCTTATTCCATATTTTCGATGCCTCCATCCCTACTATGTCTCCCTCTCTCTGTTCTCATACATGCTGATGGATACATACTCTGTAATTACAGCCTACTCTTTCTTGTGAATTACCATAATGACCTCTTATAAAAAATCAGCCACAAGTGTTATTCTCTGTAAGTGAGGCACAGCAACGAACGGAGAAGTCACTCTGTTATCTTTAGGATAAATGCTGCAGTTTAACATGCTTCTGGTTTTTAACACATGTCCGTCTATTGTATGAACGATCACTGGACATGGTCTGATGCTCTGGCATAAATTCCTATCTACAGGTGAGACTGGCATTCCTATATCTTTTAGACATGCAGCTATTCGGTCATTCAGGAGCAATCTGGAATACAATTGCCTCCACTACTTTTGAACTTCACAGAGAGAAAGAATACACATATAATTTAGTCTAAAAATTTTCTTCTCTATCTTTTTGGGCAGTACTTCCTCCGGTGTTCTGATTTGCCACATTCGAAGAAGCATCAGTTCTTCTGGCACCCATTCATAGCGCCTCTGCGTCTTGTTGTATATCCTTGGCATATTCTTTTCACTGCTTCATTTCTGGTAGCTGTAGTCGTGCACAGTAGCTGTCTTGTCAACTTCGCTAGCCGATCTATGTCCATAGATTGTGCAACATTAACCGGTTGTAGTTGATGATAAGCGTGTTTTGAAACAATTTTGAAAAGCTAAGAAATCAACAACAACGTCTCGAACTCTTCATTAAGTATGGGAAGCGTGCGATGAAGTAGACGTTTTACCTTCGAGGCTATTAGCAGTGGTTCTCCATCTCGTTCTCCAGCTTTGTGGCACAGAACTATTGTATTGCCTGCTGTCTATCCATATAGAGACTGTTGAACTCCACCTCCAGTCGGTCCCTCACTAACTTTCTCGTCTCTTATACTCGTCTTTTATTACAAGGATAAAGAGCCAACTTTATACAATCTTAAAATCTATTACAACGCAGTAATGAAATGCTGTAATGTAACTTTATTTTCACATAATCTATTCTATGTAACTGATTTCAGTAACGAGCGGCGGCCTGCTTAAAACTTGGGCTGCCAAAACCTTCCATCTCTCTATTATATATTTTCTCTGATTCAGTTGGTCTTAGTCGTTTCAAATATGACCTATAATTGGTACTATCTACTCTTGTTCTCAAGTTTCTACTAAACTTGAGGAAAGGTCTGATTGTGAGTGACAACGTGTTCCACTACATCAGATAACTGTATTTCAATTATACCCTTGGGTTTTAAAATGTATTTCTGAACATTTTATAATTCGCTTTCAACCAGATATCATGGATTACTTGAAGGAGACAGAGCATATGTACATCACAATGGAATGATTTTTACTTCAAATCAGATACCATTGTGTCACAGAATATTTTTTATTTTAAAAATTCCCTTTACATTCCCAGTGGAACATAGAGCTACAAGCTGGAGGCTTGAAGTTTCGCTAGCAGTAGTGTTTATTTTCATGGGATGGGGATGTTTTCCAACCTTCCCTGCTTGACGGCCCTAGTACCGGCCTAGCGAGGTAAAAGAGTGCGTTGACCAGGGACTGAACCCCAGAGCACATACATACTGGGTCAGCATTCTACCGTTGTGCCACCGATGCACAGGATATACTGTCAATTAAGATATTATTTTTTTTTTGATTTTTGATTTACAGCTTAATTCCACACTGTATTACTATCATATTACATTATTATTTCTTTTAAATGAATATATATATATATATATCTTTTCTGAATACAGCAACGTGAAGAAGAAGTACAACGTATGAAAGCTGAACACAATAGACTATTGAAACAATCTGAAACATCTCAAAAAAAGTTGAATCAAGCTGAAGAAGAAAAACTGAACTTAGAGCATACACGTGATCGTTTAAGAAATGAAATTCAAGCCTATGAAAATGAAATGGAATTAATGCGTAAAACTCATGAAATTGACAGGAAGGCTTGTGAAGAATTAGGTCGTGAAAAAGAAGTTATTAATAAAACCCTAGTTAAAGCCACAACACAAACAGTTAAACAAGCAAATCTGTTAAAAATGCATGAAATATCTAAACAAAATTTAGAACAAGAAATTATGAACTATCGTGATGAAGCTCAGAAACAACGTAAAATCATATATAAATTAGAACGTGAACGTGATCGTTATATCACTGAGGCATCAGAGTTAACTCAAAAAGTTTTACAAAATATGGATGATTTAAAATCACGTGAAATGCAAATTTTTGAAAATAAGAAAAAAATTGCTGAAGCTGAAACAAAATTAAAACAACAACAAAATTTATACGAAGCAGTACGTAGTGATCGAAATATGTATAGTAAAAATTTAATTGAAGCACAAAATGAAATAGCCGATATGAAAAGACGTTTAAAAATTTTATCACATCAAATTATTCAACTGAAAGATGATATAGCCACACGTGATGCTACCCTGGTGAAAGAAACCATGGAAAGACAAAAAATTGAAAAAGATAAAGAACAATTAATTAAAGATTTAGAAAAAATGAAACAACAAATCTCAGAGAATCGTGCTTACATAGAAGCACAAGAAGCTGAAGAAAGTAAATTATTAAAAATTGTCGCTGAAGCAGATATTGAACGTGTTAAAGAAAAGAAAGAGCATGAACAGGTTGCCAGTGAAAGAGATGTATTAGGCAGTCAACTAGTACGGAGAAATGATGAATTAGCCTTATTGTATGAAAAAATACGTATACAACAGTGTATATTAAATAAGGGTGAAACACAATATAATGAAAGATTAAATGATTTAAATTTACTTAAACAAGAAGTTAGAAAATTAAGACGTGAAAAAGCCTTGCTACAAGCTACAGCAACAAGAGTTGAAGATCTTAAAGTTGAAATTAATAGAATTCAGAGAAATTTATTGAAAGAAAGATCTAGAGCTAAGGCGTTAGAAGAAGAATTACAAAATCCAGTTAATGTTCATAGATGGAGAAAATTAGAAGTAAGTAGGTTATTATTTAGTCTCTTCCTTTTTGTCTATAGTTAGTTACCAGTTTAATAGTTTTGAAGTATGCTGTACCGTTATAAACCCTAATGGTTAAAATATTTTTTGAGGGTGATTTTAGTCATCTCTTCTTTTCTTCTGTTTTCGTGACGTTGGTTTGTTGACATTTGATTTGTTTCAAGTAACAATCACCAGCTGAAGTCATTTAATAAGCCATTGAGAACCAGAGATTAGTGAAGAGATGTTTTGTCCTAACTTGGGACTTTTCATCAGTTTGGACGCATTAAAGATTCAACACAGGATCTTCAGGTTACAAGGCAAGCTCATAGTCCATTCATCCCTTAGGAACACGATTCAGTAGCCTGTGAATTATAAATATTACAAAACCATGATTTTTATCTGATGCCAGCTAGTGACTGGCTAAAGGACGATGTTGCACAGAATTCTAGCAAGCGGTTGTAACCAGTGGTGTCAACCAGGTCGCGTATTAGGAAGATTTCTGGTTGGTGACGCTGACTGGTGGTCAGGCTAAACAATCACCTGGTAGTAGAAGTTAGAATTCACAGATCATTAAGTCAGGTCCCAGTGGCATAATAAGGTGAGCAACATTGAGGTTAGGCGTAGAGTTCTAGGTAAACAGGGGAAATCAATCGACGAAGTCGTGAAGCTACAAAGACTGAGATGGTTAGGACATGTGTTACGTATGCCAAGCCATCGCCTCCCTCGACGAGCAATGTTAGCGGATATAGGGTCAGGCTGGAAAAAAGCTAGCGGCGGTCAAACAAAAACTTGGCATCAGTCAATGAAATCCACAACAGTTGATCTAAGCCACGTAGGAAGGTGTAGACTTCCAGGCTGGGGTCCTCGGGACGGTAAAAATCTATGGTTGGAAACAATTGGTGACATGGCTCAAAACCGTTCTCAGTGGCGCAGATGCATCCACTCCCTGTGACTTATGATTTTCAATGAAACTGTTTTGTATTTCTTTATTACTCCTTTGTCTCACACCTCTGCTCACTGTTTCTATTATGCTTTTCTTGTACTTTCTTCTCTTGCTTCGCGTGCTACACGGAATGTGGCGACTTGAACTTCCGCACATTTGTGCAAAGTTCTATGTCGAAAACAGACAGACAGACAGACAGTGGCTGAACGGTCTAAGAACGAGTTTTGTAACTGGAACATCCTAGGTTCTAACCCCTGGAGGGGGTGTACTTCTGAAGAGTTCTCAACTAGGACTAATGGCTATCCAGTACTGCCTGTTGGTTTTCAATAGCGCTGTAAATGACATCAATCTATGATCGAACATGAAACACTTTCTGTTTTCAGATGCCTTTCTGACACACACAAACACACACATTTATATGGAACGATAAAGCGTTATAATTACTATAATTACCAGTGCCGCTGCACCTCATATGTATGTTTATGCAATAGGGATGCTTTTCTTCTTCATGGTACTCTACACCTGAAACCTCATATAAGAAAATTAGGATAAGAAATATGGGATTTCTTGACAAGAAACCGTATAATTGTTGGATATGAGATGGTTTGAGGAAATCAGAGGAAGCCTTCTAACCACATTTCCTGCTAGTCAGCATTCACCAGTCACTAAGGCATGTCTGCAACTACCTTGAAGGAATTTATGTCTCTTCTGAGATCCAAACCTACATCACTCAGTGCTGCAGTCGGAGACGTTACAACTGAGCTATTCAGACTCGCGATTGACCTCGTGTAGGACTGTATTTGATACTAGTTAGTAGCTAGTTGTAATGTGTCTAGTCCTCTGTTTGGTATAGACTGAATTCTATTAATCAGGTTTGCAGTTGGCCACCCGTTTTAGGTGGCTCGCCACCACGGTTGCAAACTTGACTGACAGAATTCAGTCTGTAGCAAACAGAGGACTAGACACATTACAACTAGCTACTAACTAGTATCCAATCAAAAGCATGTAATTAAACTAACAAACTACAATATCAGTAAAAATCAAGGCCTTAGGTTTTTTGGATGATGACTGGTTACGTTCGATACAATATGGAATATTTAGCATGTAATACAATACATGCTGTATCTAATTTTCGATTTACATCACACAATAAGGTTGTAATAATTATAAGGGACATTTTAAATAATAATAATAATTTTTCCTTCACGTTCCCAGTGGAACATAGGGCTCCAAGCTAGTGGCTTGAAGTTTCTGTCGCAGTGTTTAATTTCTACAGGATGGGGTTGCTAGCCTCATACCCAACCTTTCCTCTTTACCAGAATTATTTCTGGCTTAGCGAGGTAAAGGAGTGCGCCGGCCGGGGATCGAACCCCGGGACATTTACAGTGATAATAATGTCAATATAACTATGAATGTAAAACTAAGATTGAGTATAAATAGTGATAACTGTCTATTATTGATAAAGGGAATTAAAAGGGACGTTTGCTTTATGTTTTGCAGTAAATCAAAAGTTTCATACCTGACAATTTTCTCATCACATAAAGTGTAAGCCTGTGTTGGATTTTTCATACTTAGTCGTTGGGTCCTTATAAAGTCTGTTCTATAAGTGCTTCTAGTTCTACCTGATGAGATACAAAGGGGTGGGAGTTGCGCATAAATAGGTTGGTTAGAGTTCGATAAGATAATATTCGCTAATTTCCTGCATGAGTCTGAGTATATGATCACAAAAAAAACTGTAACACAGGCTGATTTAATGACAGTCCACTTGCTCTGCTGACAGCTCTTATCGCCCTACACAGTGTAACGAACTTTTTCTTAAGTAATTCAGGAAAAATTAAAACGGAACAATAAAGAAGAATGGGTAGGTAGAATACAAGAATTAACAAATAGGGGCAGTCAGACTAGCCGAGTATAAAAACCTAGCAAATTCTAGATTATTTGACCAGAATAAGATAATAAATCTAGAGAATAGTTCAGCTGTACCACTCACCACATGCAGTTACACACAACCATACAATAGGATGGGATAGGATGACAGTTTTAAAATCTAATGTCACAGGTCGGAGGGAGAGGTTGATAACAGAAGCTTTGTTTATCGAATCAACTGCAAATACATATCCTAGGAATGATTCAACGCGTGTCCATTCGGATATCTGGAAAATTCTACTCCCCCTACGACAAATAAGAGAGGACAAAGAAATTACAATTGATATGATTATGAACAATAAATTTTGTTCGAAACCTTTTCATCCAGTAAATAATACTGTTTCATCACTGTGTGATACATCTAATAAACAAACTAACATGGAACTGAGTAATTTTCTCATTAGTCCCTTAAACTATGGCTGTTAAATAATATCTGATTAAACGTAAATTCTATTTTTTCGTTAACTCTAATCAAGATTTTACGGAACAGATCTATAACACACTGCTAACCGAAATGCACAACACTTCTGGCCGGAATATTCACAATTAACAATCTAAGTAAATTGTGAAATGATGTTAAGTTAAGGTTAACGTCTTCAGCAAACAGGCCTAGTTAATAACTTATAGAACACAAAAAGTCGAATATAAAAAGTTACAGATTCTGTAATTGGAGTCATTGATATTGCTAGGAATCGATAATTGAAAATGTTTACTGATACAATACAAAAGTAGTCACAGTTATGAAGGTATAATCGTACTTTATTCTTCATCCTTCATAAACTTATATATTTTTCAAATGCGTCGAATTCTATTTTCTGAATTGTTATAAACTACAAGAAGTGAAACCATTTCTTATTTTTTATATGACACTGTCAGCTGAACTCTAGGTTCCAATCTTTTCAATCAACAATTATCCTCATCGTGACCACGAAATGACTTCAGTTAGAAAAACCCTGAAGTCCTTAGATTACTGAACAGATGTTTCTCTTCATGTTTGGGATTCTAAGGCAGTACGCATCTATGACACCACGAAGGATAGGACACAAGACCTTCACACTGCATGACGAACGTGTATATCATTCAGGCATTGGGAATGAATACAATCAATCATCCGTTGTAGTTCACCTTTTAACCTGAAGGTCTTGAGTTCGATCCTTGGAGGCAGAGTCACGTCATGGGTGAGTATTTCTGAAGAATCATAAAACAACTATCCAGTACTATCTGGGTTTCAATGGTTGTATAACTGAAGTCAGTTGGTGGGCAAAATTGAAATTATTCAAATCCAGGTAAATCATCACCTGAATACCAGTTACTCATCAAATACTGAAATGTTTGTCCACGTGAAGTTTGTATTATCGTCTGTTTTAAGCTAAATCTTATACTGAGGTTTATCATTACATTGATTATATATTAGAAAATAGGCTGATTTAAGTGTTTCATTCGATAAGAAAGTGATAAATGACACTAGATACACTGAAATACTCGAACTATAATAACAGAAAGGATGTTTTTGTGAGTATCTTATTCTTCGGTTGCAAGTTACACTGAACAACGACAAAGATATTCATTATAATAAAGGCTTTTTTATATCTCCCAATGAATGAAAAAAACAAAACGATATTGTTTTTACTGACGTTTCGCTATTTAATACTGCTAATAGCTTTATCAAAGTATTATGACGACAAAGGTACTCAACAAAAATACATCATATAGGTATGTACACTTTTTTACTTGTTAATGCACTTAAGGAAGTTATTGTGCAACTGATGTTGAATGACTCAGTAGTTCGCTTTGTACTTCTTAACAGCTGTGAAAAATGGCCATTGAAAGTGGAAGATATAAAGCAGCTGGCTGTCTATGACCACAAATGTTTGCGTTCTTTCCTCTGTGTTAAGTTGTATAATACGGTGAATAATATTTTGGTTGGGCATAGAGTGTTAAGTAAGGAACTGAAGTAAATAGGTGCAGTTACATCGATTGAGATGGTCAGAACACATGTCACGCATGTCCAACTACAGCCTCCTTAACCCAACTATATTAGTTAACATTGGATTACGTTGGAGAAGTTACGTCTAAACTAACTAACTAAAATACGTCATAAATCCACGAATTCACGACAGTTGGCTTG